ATTATTTTATTTTGAATTTTTTTGGGAGTAATTCTCTCATAGGGCAAAAATCACGTGCTTACAAGTACCTCTATTTGAAATGATGGAAACTAGGATACGATGCAGACGAACAATCTCTTGGATATAAATTTCCGTCAATCGCTCCGAAGAATAGGTATTACAGACAGGAATTAAATGCACAGACATGGTCAGCCCATCCACAATCACCCAAATGGCATCGAACTTCCTCGAAGTCTGTGGGAGTCCAACCACGAAGTCTATGGTGATCCACTCCTACTTCCACTCCGGAATCTCTATCGGTTGAAGCAAACTACACGGTCTCTGGTGCTCATACTTTACCTGCTGACAATTGAGATACCGAGCTACAAACCCAACTATATCTTTATTCATCTGCATCCATCAATAGTGTTGTTTCAAATCCTGTTACATCTTGGCAGCACCCAGAAGGATAAAATGTCGTGAATTATGGGCCCTCTCTAGAATCGACTCCCGAAGCCCATCAACATTGAGTACACATACCCGACCCTGCATTCTCAATACCCCGTCATCACCAATGTTCACATCTCTAGCATCACCATGCAGAACCTTGTCCTTAAGGACAAGCAAATGAGGGTAATCAAACTTGTCACGACCTATTTCCATAATAGGTCATGATGGCGCCCAACACCATTGCCGGGAAAGCCAATGCGGAAAATACTAAATAAACTTTCATTTACCTTTACCCAAAAATAGTTTAAATAATTCTTTAAGTTGAAATATAAATAAAAAATGATTAATAAAGTCATAATAATCATACAACCCCAAAATGATACAGTCTACTAATGTGTGTGCCAAGACCTGAAGTCACAAGTTGTGGGCAACTAGTAGAATATGCAAAAGAATCACACTATCCTACTGTCCGAACAGAGTAGAGAGCAAAAAAAAATACATAAGAAAGACTTCTTCAGGCTGCTGAACGGTATGGGAGGGAAACAGCTCACCATAGAAGTCTCGAGTCTGCTCAGGGACGCGCACCGGACTGAGAGCTAGATACACCTGCCTCAAATCCTGTACAATTAAGTACATACGTGTAATATGAGTACATAAACAATATGTACCCAGTAAGTATCCCATCTAATATCGAAGAAGTAGACACGAGAGGTTGACTTGATACTTACTAGGGTCAATAATATGAGAAGAATTTATAATAAGCATGGATAGCACAATTTATTGACGTTTTATGGCAATGGGTAACAGTTCTTTTTCCAAATAATGTCATGATATCCATTTACATTTTCAAGGCATATATGAAGTTCAGTCTCCAAGAAATACTAAGTAAAGCATGCGCAAATAACACCGAGGGACGTACGACCCGATCCAACATAAAAGTAAAGTGTGCACTGCCAGTAAAAGATTAAAAAGTATATCAATACAACTATTGTTCAATCAAAACCTATAATAGTAACAACAAACAACAGATAATCCCGACATAATGTTCCACTAAGCAGATGATAAAGAAAATATTTGGGGCATATTTATATAATGGAAAAAGTAAAAGAAGTCTTTCTAGCAATGTAAAATAACATGAACAGTAAAAATAATTGAGAGTGCAACATAGCTTTAACAGATTTACATGATTAAGTATTTTGCTTATACTTAGCACTAACAAAAGTTAACACACATTTGAGCTTCGCGGTAGTTCTCCCCAGAGAAACTATTGAATTAACTTTCTATACATAGAGCTAGTACTTCTCAACCCCCTAACAGAAGAAAATGTAATAACTCAAAAATTGTAGTTATGAAGATAATTTATATCCTCTATTGTGTTGCTGAACCTAGTTTCATCTCCCCCCGCCAAAACAACAGTGACATATATATTTATTGGAAAAGAAAATAGTAAATACCTGATAATTCCATCATGTCTAGATTCATCTCAAACCAAATTATGGAAAACTTCTTTATACACCACATTTCTAGCTTCATTTGTTATTTGGCCATCATCATCATAAACTAAAATCTTCAATCCTTTTCTACTCGTCACGTGTGAAAGAGCAACATACAATTGTCCATGAGTAAATACTGGCTTCTTCAAATATAAACCCACATGAGATAATGACTGGCCTTGACTTTTATTAATTGTCATGGCAAAAGATACAACAATTGGAAATTGTCTTTGCTGGAACTTAAAAGGTATTTTTGTATCTGATGGAATCAACGTCATTCTAGGGATAAACACTTTTTGTCCAGCCATATCACCCGATAAAACCTTGGTTTCAATAACTCGATTTTCAAGTCTTGTGATGATCAACCTCGTGCCATTACACAATCCTGATGACTGGTTTATATTTCTCAGCAACATTACAGGAACACCAACCTTCAAAGTAATAGAGTGATTTGGAATTCCAGAACATTTAATACTGTTTAGGAATTCGGGTGTATGTACGTGCTCCAAAGCTGAAAGGGAATTATCAGACATACAGACTGTATCAGAAGTTAAATATGTCTTCTCAGGACTATTATTGAGTGAAACCGTATATTCATTGATCGACTCCACCATATCAAGAGTCGGATCAAGAATTGCTCTTTGTTGGAGGTAATCAATGTCACTGGAATGATTAAAGAAATCTGGATATGTACTTTCAACAATTGCCGATACTGGATCATCACAATTATTTATGAGAAGATCATCGGGGATTTGGACTTTCTCAATGCCATCAATGGAACTCCCAATCCTTCCATCACCGATTGCTAAAATCCATTCAGAAATATTTTTTAACTCATCCAAATGTTTCTTCAAATGGGAAATGTATTTAGTACTATCTCCCTAGGCTATGATGAAGACTCAGGTTAAGACCTTTCTGTTTACTCTTTTTTCATTTTTTGAATGGGTGTTTGGTCGATTCATTATAGTTTGAGATTGTGAAGCTTTGTTTTATTTTGCCTTCTTTTTTTTACATCTTTGTGTATAAGAAACATCTAAATTATCTACAGCTATGACATAGTAAGTATAATCAACATAAATCCATAAATACGCTAAGTGAGATTGTGAAAACTCAAAATATTCTTGGTTCCCTAGCATGAATGCATGTCCTATTTATATTTGAATGGATCTTGATCAAAATATTCTTTTCATAATATTCATAATATGCTTCTTGATTGTTACATGATTATTCACTTTCCAAATATATTTCTAGATCAGCGCTCTCATGCATCCTTGATTTCCTCAGTTTGAAGGAAATTATGAATATTTTTGGTCATATAATATTATTCCTTATATGGTGATGTTTGAGCTGCAAATATTTAAATTTTTAAGTAATATACAATTGTATTATGCAGATCTAGTGTCACGACCCCAACCCCGGTCATGATGGTGTCTAACACACTACTAGGCAAGCCCGACCATTCAACAATATTATCCCAAATTCTTATTCAGATTATAGATAAATATCACAGAGAATTTACTAAGTCATCACTTTCAAGTGTATAATTAATAACAAAATCTGCGGAAATTCAACTAAAATACCACACCATAGCCCAATAGAATCCGGTGTCACGACTATGAGCCTCTAATACAGAATATCCACCTATCACAAGTCTGTCTAGGAAAAATACGGAATAAAAAATAGAGATAGAGGGGAGATCAAGGCTGCGAACGCCATGCTGCTACCTCAATACTCTCGGATACTGTTGCGCAGCTAAACAAATCCTCACTCATCCTGTGGTGTACCTGGATCTGCACGCAAGGTGCAGGAAGTAATGTGAGTACTCCAACCCAGTCAGTAATAAATATAAATAATGGCTGAAAGCAAGAAAACAAGTAAAGGCACAAAACATTCTATACAAAAGTAGTAAAATCGCTTAAAATAGTAATTCGGTGAAATATCAATGAAATCTCTTTTAAAACCAGTAAAATAGGTAATTTGGCAGTAATTAACAAGTAGAAATTTGCCCCTCGGACTCAGTATCAAAATAACAAGTAGAAATCTGCCCCTCAAGCACCGTATCAGTCACTCAGTACAGTATCGGCCTCTTGGTCTCACTCTCAGAACAGTATCACTCATATCAGCCCCACGGTCATAGTATCAATCACTCAGCATAATGGGTAGCCGCGCTCACTATGGGTATGCAGACTCTGGAGGGGCTCCTACAGCCAAAGAGCAATAATAACATATGGCCTGAAAGCCTTCTAACATCACTCATAAGGCCTGAAAGCCTCCTCACATCACTCATAAGGCCTGAAAGCCTTCTCACATCACTCATGAGGCCTGAAAGCCTTCTCACATCACCCAAGCCACCACGTGGCGTAAATAGTATCACAGGCCCTCTGCCTCATATCACTCCGCATATCCTCACATATGGCCCTCTGCCTCACTCAGTCCGTAAATCATCATAAGCCCTTGGGCATTTGTAAAATAGTAGTTCTCAGCCCAAAAATATCATTTAAGTTTCAAATCTGTATAAAGTGGCTGATTTTGTAAAAAAAATAATTATTAATGGGACTGAGTTCAAATATAAGTCAAAACAGTAAGGAAATAGTGATAAAAATTCGCGAAAGATTCAAACAATTGGCACGAAGACCAAATATGGCAAACAGCCTAAATCATGATGATAACAAATAAGTTTTAGTAAAATACACAGTAAAATCATCAATCGGGATGGAGCAAGTCACAATCCCCAGTAGTAAAAAGACCTCGCGCGTATCATCCAACACGTGTCTCCCCTCATATAGCACTACGATGTGCAAATCCGGGGTTTCAAACCCTCAGGACATCATTTACACTCATTACTCACCTCAAACCGGCTATTTCTTTAATTCGCGACGCCTTTGCCCCTTGAATTGGCCTCCACGTGCATCGAATCTACCTAAAATCACAACGAATATGTCACATAATGCTAAAGAGACAATACTTCGAAAAATATCAAAATTCACGAATTTGGCAAAACTTGAGCCCCGAGCCCTGGGCCCACGTCTCGAAATTCAGAAATTGTTTACGTCATCGGGTTCCTTATCTCGCCACGAGTCTATACATACAAAAATCTTTCAAATCGGACCATAAATAGCCCCTCAAATCCCAAATTTAGAATTTCAATTTCAAGCCTTAATTTCTTACAATTTGGCTATATTTTCATGAATTTCAAGGATGATTTCACAATATAATCATGTATTTAGTTCATAGGACTTACCTCCAATCAATCCTCTTCGAGTCCCTCTTCAATTACTCCCAAGTAGCTCTTCAAATTGCTCTGATACCAATTTGGGGTGGGTTGTTTGAGTTCATCTTATTTTTCATAGGATCTTTTTTATGTAGTTGTGGAATTAAATGCTTTTTCATGATTATCTGTAGCTAGCGAAATTAACCTTGAAATTTCTTTTATATTTTCAAGTGTGTATTCTAAGTATTTAATATCTTTAGTTTTTTGATATTCTTCTATATTTTTTTCTAATATTATTTTTGACATATTTATATGTTTTAGAATTTCTAACCAGTACTTAAAATATTTGTAACTATCAATTTTTGATTTGTTCATATTAATACTGAGATGTATACCTGTTGATACATATATCCATGGTTTCTATATTTCTCAGTGTTATTTCTTTTCTGTGTTGATAACTTTCAAGTTTATCTTCATAAAATTCAATTTCATTTTCTATAGTTAATAAAGCTTTATTACGTAATTTATTATATCTAATAATATCTTTGCAGGTTTTAATATTGTATTTAACACAATCTATTTTTCTATTTAACACACCGAATACCGATAACGAAACATGAAGAACCATAAAATGGGGGAAACGATATGGTAACTCACGTGACGACAGGCCGGGTCGTCACATCTAGTCTCAAGATTTGAAAGTTTAAATAATTCTGTGTCTATAGTACAAAGATTAAAAATCAAGATATGGCTTATATTCACAAAACTGCAAAACACATGACTATTCAAATAGTAACTTTACGTTCTCCTTTTCTTTCTCATTCTAAATCCTCTCATCCAAAATGTAGCCTGGATATCCTACCATGATCAATTATGTGGAGAAATCGTACTGCACACTATTAAAGAATGCATGTCCTTTTTCTTTGTTCAGGCAAGCCAGATAATATGGAGTCTTATATCACAAAACCTGCCCAAGAGCGTGCAAGTATTGATGATTCGACCAATGGTACTTTGTTAGATCAATTAGCTAGAATGTTGGGTGTAGAGCTAAGGAAATAAATTAGTGCAAAGCTTATATAATACATATGCAGCTCCCACACTCAATAGGTATTTCAAGTCCGCTATGAGCTAACCTTTTGGAATATATTTGGTTTCATCAAATTGAAGAACATTTCCCATATTAGTTAATAATTACCAAGATTGAAGATATTTATCAAGAAAATAACATCTTCTATCTTCTGTATTCATTAGAAGGTGAAAGACGTTTTTGCAACAAAGAGCTACGTCTTATAGTATGAATTCAAAACAATAACATAAAGAGTAAAGTTACTTCAAAATAACGACATAACCAAATATTGGTAAGAATCACTTGGTTCATAGCCAAAGCTAACGGCTGAAAAGTAAGTCTAAGTACTCAACTAAGTTATGTCAATTAATGCTTGTGCAGCAACTCATGGATTTTTCTCCTTTTTAATCACTCTCTTCACCCTGTTGCTTGATAATTGTCCCGCATCATCATCAACTTCTACAGTGGTTGGTCCAGCATTGTCTCTAGTTCTCTTGGAAGGGGTCAGTGCAGGAGAGATCATCTCATTATCAGCCACAGAATCCTACAAAAGCAAAACAATGAAGGTTGACATAACCAAAAGTAGAAAATCATTTGCCATTCTCAATATTTCATGAGAAGCTCTTTATATTAATCACCTTGTCTCTCGTATCTCCATTATGACTTGTTCATTATTGAAATTTGGATCCTACATTGATATCACAGTTGAAAAGTTAACAAACAATAATAAGTTTTAGCATTGAACTCACAATTCAATCTCTTTCTCTCTCTCTCTCTCTCTCTATATATATATATATATATATATATATATATATATATATATATATATTGTGAGGAATTTGAGTAAAGATCACATACAGTAAAGGCATATGCTTCTGCTTCTGAAGACGGACTATATTTTTGTATAAGGTCCTCATCGTCGCTGACCTTAACGACGATATAAACTTCATCATTCTCCTCAATGTTGGAAGGTTTCACTGTCAGTTTAAACATAAATTTTCTATCCAGAATAGCATCAATCTCCAATGGATGAGAACACTCATAAGCAGCACTAGATGTCTAAATCAATGTTAGTATTAAAAGTGCTAAAACCCATGAAACAATCGAAATAAAATATCATACCTCTACTACACCTTCTTTCAAGGTATCAGCAGATTTTCCAGTGAGTTTTGTCGCCTCACGATCCCAAAGCAACAAAGAAATTGAGCCAGTGACATCAATTACTCGAACCTGAAGCCTATATCTGATAACTTCTTTAAGTTAAAAAATTTTAACTTAAACTTATGTTCTAATATTTTTTAATCCATTATAAATTATGGTCAAACCTTTTTAGAGCAAAATGATCTACACGTTCACATTTCTTGCAGTAAAACTTATTTCCAATTTTATCAACTTTCTTCAAACATTTTTTGCACACTACATATGACCATCTCCTTTCAAGTTCTAAATTCACTACAGTAGCAACAATCCATATTTTCCCTTCCTGTACAAAGAAAGTCATTACTAATATTACGTATATACTTCCAACTGATTGTAAATAAAAATGCTAAAAAATCTGCACCAAACCAAAACTAAATGTAATGTCATTCATTATATTTAATAAGCAAAGAAAATTGTTTACAGAGCTATATTTGCTAGTCATAGTTTATCTAGAGAACATTTTACTTACCTACAGAAAATCAATTAATTTTCCAATGTTTTTAACTTCCACTTTCCCAGCAGCCAGTTCTTCAGAAACAGAATAACTACGTTGAGAAGTTGTTTGACTAAACCTCTCAAGATTAACTTCACGCCCACTTCCTAATTTGCATTAATCCAAATTTGTATTAGTTCTAAATATGCTAAAAAAATTATGTAGTACATATAGAAATTTTATATTATATATAAAAAACCAGGATATAAATTAAGCAACTTGTGGAAGATCAGGATTAATCCAAAGCTTCGAGGAATGCCAAGTATTACACACAGAATATTTGTCTACATATAAAATTAATTTTAATTTAATAACACACACACAAATAGAATTCAAATCTAATATTACGATCCGAGTACCTTGAAATTTGTGAGCTTTTAGTAGCTGCATAACCACTATGACACGTTGATGGGGTGATCCATCCAAGTGAGACAAGATTTCATCTACAAATTCTCCTCAAAATATTGCTGAAATATTGTTCCTCCTATATGTAAAATACACAAATTAATAATGACAAAATAATAGTGATTGATTCTATAACTAATTCTATTCATGGTTGCAAGCATACTCATGATCCTCGAGCTCCAAGTTCATAAATGTACTTATTTTACCACCTTGGTTATAAGATTCTACGTTACCATGACCAATAACTTCTCATTGACATCTGCCACATTTAAATAATAGTTATGAATAAGGTGATAAAACATTCAACAAAAAATAGGGAAAGGTAAAACAATTACCGAATAGTTCATTCTCATCAACCTCAACTTGATTTGTGAGATGCTGAAAAGGCTTAAAGTTGAAAATATTCAAACTAAATTGTGGATCACTAATTTCATCCACACTCGTCCTATGAGAAAATGTCAGTTTTAATTTATGTTTGTTGGTCTTAATTTTCAGATTGTTTAGTCCAACCACAAAGTTTTTCATAACATACAATCCTATTTCATGTATTTTTGTTTTGAAAATACGCATAACAGCTCTTCCAATAGTTGCGTGAATTCGATCACCCTAAAACCAAAAATGTGAAAAGAAGTTAGTAAGGCGCATAAGTTGAAGAAAATACATCACAACTCGAAAAAATAACAACATGTAAAAGAGTATGCACCTTTTCATCTTGAATAATTAATACGATTGAATTAGAATTTTTTGGTTTCTCGCGGTCTGGAATGTGCCACAATCTAACAACACGAACTTTCAAATTCCAACTCATTTTGGACATTGCTATTTCGCTGATATAGTTATAGTTTGGAGCCATACTTTGGCAAAGTTTGTGTGAGAGCTAAACCCTAAGCAATGTAGAGGAGACAAACCTAAGTAAAAGTTGCTTAAATAAAGATTTGTAAGAAAATACTATAGTAGTAAATTAAATGTAGAATTATTATTTCAACTTAACATTAATGTGTAAGGTACTTAAAATTCTATTAATTGATTCTTTCTCAAAAAAGAAAACCTACCATAATTGAATTAGACACAAATTTAATTAAAGATACTTACAAAATATTTTTGTGATTTGGACGTCCGACAGGTTCACAAAAGAGAACATTTTTTGTTTAAATTTTAAAATATTTGGCTTTGATTATTTTATGAACTTTTTAAGTCTATTTTCTTTAATATAATACAGATGTAAGATACAAAATATTTATTTAATTAAGTCTTTCTTAAAAAGAATTCCTACCATAACTAAATTATACATTCATTAAATATTTTTCCATTTATAATACAAATTTTAATTAAAGATACCTATAAAATATTTTTGTGATTTGGACGTCCAACAGGTTTGTGACGACCCGGCCAGTCGTCTAATGAGTTACCGCTCCGTTTTCCCCTATTTCTGCTTCTTTACGCTTAGTTATCCGTGTTTTATGTGATCGGGTTGATTAGTTTGAGTTCGGAGAGGATTTTGGTAAGAAATGAGACACTTAGTCTCTTTTAAGAAGGCTTAAGTTCGAAAGGTCAACCGGATGTTGACTTATGTGTTAGACGGCTCGGATGTGAGTATCGATGGTTCGGTTAGCTTTGGGAGGTTATTTGTGACTTAGGAGCGTGATCGAATTGTGTTTTGGAGGTCCATAGCTAATTTAGGCTTGAAATGCCGAAAGTCGGATGTTTGAAGTTTCCGGTCCGATAGTTAGGTTTTTATTCAAGGGTCGGAATGAAATTTTGAATGTTGGAGTAGCTCCGTAGTGTTGAATATGACTTGCTTGCAAAATTTCAGGTCATTCGGACGAGAATTGATAGACTTTTTGATCGAAAGCATAATTTAAGATGTGATAACCCAAAGGGTCATCACCGGTATTCTTATCCATTTCGCTCTTCCGAGGCCTTGAAAACCTCATTTATAGTTGCCTCGATTTACCGTGCGCAGTCCGAGCGCGTAGTCGGAAGCTCAAATATGAAATTCTGTGAAAATTTGCTAAAGTTTTGATATTAAAATGAATACCTTTGACTTCGGTCAACATTTTGGGTAAACGGATTCGGACCCATGAATAGACAGTCACGGGAGGTCCGTAGAAAAATATGAGATTTGGGCGTATGCCCGGAATCGAATTCTGAGGTCCCAGGCCCGAGAAATGAATTTTTGAGTAAAATTATTTTTTGAAAATATTTAAGGAAAATGGAAATGAAATTTGATTATAAAGTGATGGTATCGGGACCGTATTTTGGTTTTGATGCCCGGTACAGGTCTTATATATGGTTTAAGCACTTTCTGTAAAGTTTGGTTGAAAACGGACGCCGTTTGACGTGTTTCGGACTCAAAATGGAAAATTTGAAGGTTTATGAAATTTCAAAGAAATCATGGATTTTAAGGCTTAGTTCATTGTTTATGATGTTATTTTGGTGATTTGATCGTACAGATAAGTTCGTATGATGTTTTTGAGTTAGTATGTATGTTTGGTAAGGAGCCCCGAGGACTCGGGTGTGATTCGGATGTGTTTCGAGATGTTTCCAACTTAGGAAAAGTTGCAGAAATAGCTCCTTGCTGATGTCCAGTCTCTTGTGATATGCGATCACATAGCTATGTCTGCGATCGCATAGTGTAAAATTTTTAGGGGTTCAGTTTGTTCTATGCGATCGCATAGTTCCTCCCGCGATCGCATAGTATTAGCCTTAGAGGTCCTATATTTTGCTCTACGCGATCGCATTACTTTCTCTACGATCGCAGTGTGTTAGCCCATGCATTCACTATTTACTCTATGCGATTGCATAATGTCATTCACAATCGCAGAGCCCTATCCCATTTACTCTATGTGATCGCACTCCTTTGTCTGCGATCGCATAGGCCAATTTCGCCCAGTTAAATTTTTAAATCCAGAACAGTAGCCTTACGGGACGTTTACAAAATTTCACAAACTCTTTCTTCCCCAAGATCTTAGGCGACCATTGAGGCGATTCTTCACCAAAATCTCTTGGGTTAGTAATCTTTTACTTGTTTTCTTCCATTTCCTTCAACATCTATCGAAATCCTAGGCCTAAAACATGTGAAAATAGGTAGAAAATTAGAGAATTGGGTAGGGTTAGGACTTTTTGATTTTTATTGAATTAGACCTCGTTTTGGGGTCGAACTTGAAAGCAAGTTATATAATCGGGCTCGTGGGTGAATGGGTGACCGGAATTTGGTTCGAACCTCGTGTTTTGACCAAGCGGGCCCGGGGTCGATTTTTGGAATATTGGGAAGAAAGATTGGGAATCTATATTTAGGCATTGGGTTTGATTTGTTTAGCTTATATTGATATTATAAAGTCGTTATTGCATAGATTTGGTTGAGTTGGAGACGAATTCGAGAGGGAAAGCGGTTGTTGTGGATTGATTCGGTCGTGAAAGTTGAGATAAGTGTTCGGTCTAACTCTAGCTTGAGGGCTTAGGAGTTGAGTCTTACTTGCTACTTGCTTTGTGTTGTGTCTGACGTATAGGCATGGTGACGAGTATCTATATGTTGGGGGTCGAGCATGACCGTGAGTCCTAAATTGCTAAATTGTTGTATTCTTAATTAATGCTTATGAGAACTTGGTTGAAGATCCTTGAAACTGAGCAAGTAAATGTTATGATTGAGCATTTGTATTAATTGTGTTAAGTATAAATTGAATAAATTGGTTATAGCTGGATCTCCCTTGCCGGGATAGTTGATTTGATACCTTGTTCCCTTGCCGGGAAACTTATCATATTATCTTGCTCCCTTGTCGGGATTATCTTGTGATATTGTGTTGGACTGAAATGAGAGCGGGTGGTACGCCTACCACAAGTCATGAAATGAAATGGGAGCGGGTGGTACGCCTACCACAAGTTATGAAACGAAATAGGAGCGGGTGGTACGCCTACCACAAGTCATGAAACGAAATGGGAGCGGGTGGTACGCCTACCACAAGATATAATAAAATGGGAGCGGGTGGTATGCCTACCACAAGTTTTGAATTGAAATGGGAGCGGGTGGTACGCCTACCACAAGTCATGAAACGAAATGCGAGCGGGTGGTATGCCTATCACAAGTTATGAAATGAAATGGGAGCGGGTGGTACGCCTTCCACAAGATATGATGAAATGGGAGCAGGTGGTACGCCTACCACAAGATATGATGAAATGGGAGCGGGTGGTACGCCTACCATGAGATGTGATGAAATGGGAGCGGGTGGTACGCCTACCACAAGATATGATGAAATGTGATCGTGGTTGTTTTTCCCTTATTCTATGGTAGAAGTAAGCAAATGTAGTTTTCCCTTATTATATCTAATATGATGTTTTATCTGTTATCCCCGTAAGCATGCTCCCCCTCCTAGCTTTAATTGTTTACTTTCCGCTATTTCCATTGTACTTGTATATATATATATATATCTGCACAGGTTTATCTGGAGTCTGGGTCTAGCCTTGTCACTACCTCGCTGGGGTTAGGCCAGATACTTACCAACACATGGGGTCGGTTGTGATGATGCTAAACTCTGTGCTCTTTTGCACAGATCATAGAGTTGGAGCAGCCTTTAGACAATAGTAGTAGATCGGGAGCAGGCCTTCAGTTTAGAGACACCGAGGTAGCCTTGGTGACGTCCGCAGGCCCGGAGTCTCTCTCTCATTATGCAGTTTGTTATCTTTTGTACCGAAACAAACAGTTTAAAATTTTCTTTCAGACGATTGTATTTAGTTATCTTAGAAGTTCGTGAGCATTGTGACACCAATCTTGGGTAGAGGATTTTGTTAAACTTTCTGCATTTCTATTTAGTTTTTTTTATATAAGTTACGATTTCCGCTTGAAATTTTAATTATGTTGCCTTTATTACATGTTGATAATTATGGAAAAAGAATGTGTGTTAAATGGAACATAATTTTAGTTGGCTTGTCTAGCTCCTATCAGTAGGCGCCATCACGACCCCGAGGTTGGGAAGTCCAGGTCGTGACAAGTTGGTATCAAAGCACTAGGTTACATAGGTCTCACAACTCACGGACAAAGTTGGTAGAGTCTGAGGGATCAGTACGGAGACGTTTGTATTTATCCCCAGAGGCTACAGAGTTAGGAAAACTTCACATATGTTCTTTCTTGTCATGCGGTTCTATTTCCCCAATACAGATTGAATTTCTACTCCGTTCTTTCGGAGATGGAGAGGACACGTGCTTCCTCATCGACCGCTCAGCAGCCCGAGCCCCCAGTAGCAGCTCCCACTAGGGGCAGAGGGCGAGGGCAAGGCCGAGTCCATACTAGAGGCTGAGGTAGGGGCAGTTTACAGTGTTGTTTCTAGAGAGGTTTCTCCCCGTTACTCAGAGAAAGGCCTATCGGAGGCAGTTTGAGCACCTCCAGCAAGGTTCCATGAGTGTTACCCAGTATGAGACAAGGTTCATCGATTTAGCTCGCCATGCTCTCATCATACTTCCCACCAAGAGAGAGAGGGTGAGAAGGTTTATTGATGGTCTTATTCTGCCGATTCGTCTTCAAATGGCCAAGGAGGTCGGGAGCGAGATCACATTTCAGGAGGCGGCCAATGTGGCCTGCATAGTTGAGATGGTTCTGTCACAGGGAGGTGGTCATGGGTCGGATAAGAGGCCCCGTCATTCAGGCATATTCAGTGGTACCTCGTCTGGAGGTAGAGATTCGTATGGTAGAGGACATAAAGGTAGAGGTAGAGGTCATAGAGGTGGAGGTAGATGTCATAGAGGTGGAGCTCAGACCGCTAGAGGTAGGGGTCAGTGAACAGCCAATCGTCCCAGGGATATGATTGAGGGAGATGGGGCCCAACCCCGATGTTATGTTTTGCCAGCCAGGCCAGAGGCTGA